GATTTTCCCTACTCTAAACCTTCTTCATTATTTCTAGTTGTTTTTTTTAACAACCTGATTGTACCATTCCCACCTTCTTTAAAATTCCTGTCTTCCCAACCCAGAGATTGAACCCAGGTCTCCCACACTGCAGGCGGATTCCTTACTGAGCCACCAGGGAAGCCCAAACCCTTGTCAGTGCCATCTTACTCATCCTTATTACCCTGGCACTTGGCATAATTTTGGACAGGTACACAGCATCTGATGAAGAAACCAATTTTGCAGATAGGAAAGTGGAGACATAGCTTCCTGCCTAGGAGTGAACTGTTACCTATTTGAAGTACAGACAACCTTGCAGGGAAACAGAAGCCAGCCTACTCCAGGCAAATACTGGAGGCTTTAATTTTGTCCCATGACCATGTGAAAGCATACCACCTAGCATTCTGGCAAACATCACAGCCAGTTTCTACTGGGGTGAATTTGGACTCAGACCTTGGTCTAAGTCAAATTCTATCTCCCTTACCTCCTGCTTTTCTCAGGTACAGATCCAATGGTACTTCTCATCCCCTAAGTAAAGTACGAAAATATTTACTAATTTCTGTGACATTGTAACACTGAACATTACTGCACTTTTTAAAACAGCCATATACCACTTACTGTTTCCCAACACCTAAAAGATTCAGTTATTGACTGAAAACTCAAAATGAGGAAATTAATCATCTCCCAAGCTTTGGTTACCTTCGGTGCATGAGTCAGCTGCTGCAGCAGAAATGAGTGTAGTTTAAAGGACAAGATGTAATACCCATGACACAATTGCCGTTTTCTTCTCCATCCTGTTATGTCCCAGCATCACCCAGAGTGTTCTTCCATGTAGACAGTACTTAGCCTCACAGATCATTGTCCTCAAATGTGACTTCACCTCCAGTCACGTTGGTTACTCTCAATCATGGCTAGAATTAGGTATTCTCTGAAACATTTTTCAGTCTTCTGAAGAAGGCATACCCCCACATATACATACTTGAACCTCACTGTAAAATGAATCCCTTGACCATCACTGCTCTCTAACAGTCATCTCATGGCTTCACTTCCTTCCCTACCCAGCCCAGATGCCAGAATACACCAATTTTAACTACACTTATCTCACTAAGCTCCCTAGCCCACCCTTTCTTTTGCTACTTACATTCAGCGATACTTTAACCATAGATAAATCCATCCATTTGTTCATTTGCTGTGTAAATACTGAATGCATACTCCACATCCAACTTTAGTTTCTGCTTCTATTTCCACACTGTTGAATGCTACCAGAGCAAAATCACAAGTATCAGGGCCCCATAAATACTCCATTATCACCATGAGGCCTCAACATTCACCAGCAATTTGTGGCTAACCCCTTCACACCCCTGAAGAAGCATTTTTCCACTCCTCTCCTCAAGCCCAATCCTAGTGACCATCCATCTTTCTCAGAGGATGGCACTGCTTCCTACTTCATGGAGAAGAGAGGCTTTAGATAATGAACTACTTCATCATAACCATCTACCCACCAATGTCTTTGTGCATTTTTACTTCCTTCTGCCACGGTGGTAGATTCGCCTCTGCAGCTGTTACTAGTTCATGTACCTGAGCTCTGCAACCACCCCTCTGCATTTTTCTCCTCCAGTTACCCTCCTTTATTTCCAACTTCTCCTATTCCAGGAGTATGTGTGCACATGCCCAGTTGTGTCTGACTCTTTGTGACCCCATGGACTGTAACCTGCCAGGTTCTGTCCATGGAATTTTCCAGGCAAGAATATTGGAGTGGGTTGCCAATTCCTTCTAGGAGCTCCTTCCCCAAAATCTTGTCTCCCTCCCATTCAAAATTTTAAACATTAAGCAAACTCTCCTTTGGTTTTATACCCTCACCAGCTTGCTTCTGAGCATGGAACCAAGAGTAGTTAACTGTGTATCTCAGACAAGACCCTCATCTTCAACAGGTCTAGCCTTATAAACTGTCTAGTGACTTCTATTTTCCTGAAAAAAAGTGGCTTTAATAGTCACATTTCCTTTGTCATTTTTGCCCCCTTTTGGAAAATATTCAAGGCTGGTAACTAATATATTCTCATATGCAGGCAACCCTGAAGGGCTGGAGGCACTTTTGTTTTGAAACTATTTCATCCTTACATAAAAATTACAAAAGTAGAGAATTCCTGTATTTTACCCTCCTTCACCAATTTTAAAATTTTGCCACAATTTATCGTTATTCCTCTCCAACTAAGTATTTTTCTGAACCATTTGAGGGGAGGTTACATAATGATTATGATTCAGATACCCAAGTGGGTTTTCCTAAAGGCACCAACCACCAGACAGACCTATACAAATTCTGGTCTACATTATCATAGTAATTAATCAGCTACCATTTTGGTAGTACAAAGGTCTACTGAGCTTAATGTTAGAAATGGATCCATGCTCTGAATACCGATGCAATCGGATTTTTGTGAAGAACCCCTTCCCATTTCTCATCCCCTGACCCCACTAACAGGGACAATGGGTGGTGGTGGCTTTCAGCACCCAAAAGCACCTTCTGAGAAAACTTTCCAAGTCCAGAGACCCATTACCGGCTAGCTCAAGTGTCCACAGCCTGCATTAGAGGGAACTGAAATTATTCTCCATAATGGAAGAATAATTCCCAATAAGTAGAGGCCATCAACTGGCATAAAGCCTTGCCCCTTTGTACACACCACCCATTGTTATTACAGACGGGTTAGGAACGCTCTTGGATTACCTTCCCCAAGAGCTAAGGCTGAATTTAACTATTTAGACCAAGAGCAGTGAGTTTTCCTGTTTATCAGAGGATCAATACAAGCACAAACGCTTGCATTTCCTTTACACAAATTAGTCACAAAAACTAAAATCCTGAGGTAAAAGAAAATGACTCATTGACAATAGATTTGAATGGATAAGCTAAGTGAATGTAGTGTTTGGTTGAAAGTTTATTATGTAGCTTCGTGAAAGCAGGTCTCAGGCAATTTTTAAAATATCTAGCAGCTATACTTCCACCCAGTAAGGGTTTTAAGCATATCCAATGTGAAAGAGAAGGGATATAGCAGAACACACAGTTGCCAAAGAACTTTCAGACTGGTGAGAGAAAAGAAAGTCAAAGTCACTCAGTCATGTCCGAGTCTTGGCAACCCCGTGGACTATACAGTCCGTGGGATTCTCCAGGCCAGAATACTGGAATGGGTAGCCTTTCCCTTCTCCATTTTCCCAACCCACGGATCGAACCCAGGTCTCCTGCACTGCAGGCGGATTCTTTACGAGCTGAGCCACAAGAGAAGCAGTGAGAAAGAAAACATTAGTAATCAACTGCAACCAGTGATGCATGCTCTAAAGGAATCCAGGGTTGTTAAAGAGCAAATGATTGACAGGAATGGAGTGGGAGGGCACACTTTAACACTAATCTAGTTTAGCTACAGAGTTTAGTTTCCAGTAGAAGAAAAATGCTATGCATGAAGGCTGTGAATTAGTGGGGAGCAGCACACACACAGACCCAAAGCATGTCAGTGAGGCCAAGGCACAAATGAAGTGAGAGAAAAGCTGAAGATGGACTAGAGTCTCTAATTAAGCAGATGTTTGTAATTCGTATTATTTTGGACTTTCGTTTCCTTTTCATAAATATCCTAAGAATAACAGGAAGCTACTGAAGGATTTTAAGTAGAACGAAAGCATAAAAAACGTTTGTAAAGGCCTTTTGAAAGCTATATCAAGAATGGATGGAGGCAAATAGTGGATGCAGGCAGACCCATTATGATAGCACAAGAGATCATGGTTGTCTAGACTGGATGATGGTACAGACACATTAGAAATTAGAAAAATATCTAGTAACCAGGATTTACTGATTGGATGAAAAGGCTGAAGAAGAAAAAAGAATCAAAGACTTGGAAATTTGAGGCCCAAACACCTAGGAGGATGATGTAATGGTGCCATGTATGAAGATGGCTTTCCACTAGTGCTTTGAGCTTTTTCATTAAAATACCATGCAAAAGCAGAATGTGCAATAAAACAGCACTCTTACATCTTTAAGCACTCTTACATACTTAAGAAAAACTAGTCATTTCATAATTTCAAAGTGTATTTCTTGATTAACTATAATCATCCCACAACTTCTCAATGTCTGAGCTTGCCAAAATTGTCAGTATCAACTTTAGATTTTTGTCACTTTAAATCAGTTTCCTACTGCCCATAGGATAAACACAAACTCTAAGCACAGCCTGCAAAGCTTGGGCCCACACTCTTGACCCTTAACAAAGCCTGCCTTTAGTCCCCGGAACATACCAGAACCTTTTCCACCCTTGGATTCCTGTGCATCGCCTTTACTAGTAACTCGACTCCTGCTGAGTGGCTGCCTGTCTCGACCGTCACTCCACCTAAGATTAGGCCCCCACTGTATGCTCTTATAGGAAATTATACTTTATCTCGAGAGAACTTATAGTCTGTAATATTTATAAATACATTTACATACATGTCCCATGAGGACAGGGAACATACCTGCTTTGTTCTGTCACTGAATCTCTAAAAACCTAAAACAGAATCTGTCACACAGCAGGCATTCTAATTTCTGCTGAACAATGAACGAACATCGCAGCCAGGCAAAGTGACACCTAATTTAGACCTAATCGAAGTTCCACTGTTCACTGACAATCAATCCTACATCAGGCTACCAATATCTAGCAGTTTTTATCACCTCTGAAACAGAAGAAAACAAACACAGACCTTTTGTGTAAAAGAGCTATTTAAGTAAAAGAAGACAGGCAAGGGTTTTGTTTTGTTTTTAGTAAGCTGTAACTGCATTTTGCTGAAGACAGAAAGCAAGAAAGATACTCTTCATAATCAGATTAAAGAACTAAAATAATCATTAAAACTGAGGTTAAATGCAGTTCGCACTGAAACTGTGAAATTCACTATTTATAACACAAGGATAGCCTTAACAATTTACAGGACTTTAGCTCCACAATAATGATTTTAAAAAATACTGCATAAAAAAAAAATTTATGGATTGTTTTAAAGTGTTACTGTTTTATTTTTTTCTTTTGTTGAATACACATTTGCTTTACTGGCAGTCCAGATAAACAAGTATATAAAGGAAATATTTAAATTTTTCTTTTGGCAGATGTCAAGATAAGCTGTGCAGATTAAAATGCCTCAATTTAACCTGAAGAAATGGTTTTGAATCATACAAATTTTTCAGAAGAAAAATAAAGACTGTCCAAAGGGATTCTTCTAGCTTATAACACATTTCCAGAATAACTCTCAAAAAGAAATTCAAAAATACTCATTGGCTACTTTAAAAATATGTCAATACCATATGGCTTTACGAAATAACTTCTAAAATTTTTATTATTTAAAAAGGATCCCAAGTTTTAAATAAACTGCTAGCAATATCATTTTCTTCACTTAAAAGTGCATCTCTCTCAAGGTGGAACATACATCTTTTTAAACAAATAATTTTTACAAATTTTTTTTTTAACACCAAAAAAAACAAAAAAACTCACAAAATATCTTTAAGGGGGAAAACAGTTTTCACCAAGTGTCATCTTTAAACAGACTGCAGTAGATGACACTGTTCTTTTCTTCTCTTTATACCATCAGAATTCTCAAAGAGATGCTTTGGCAGTTTTAAGACACATCATGGTCTCTACCAAGAGACACTGACATTAACGATGATGTCCTTGATGGCTCAGTCTGAAAAGAGACATTACTGGGTTGGTTCTCTAAATCAGAGGCAAAGGTGCTCTCTCCTCTTACATCAAGAGTTTGTTCAATTGAAGCTGCCTGGGGTGATATATTATCCACAGTTTTATTGGCATTATTCAAGTTGCTATTAAGTATGGTAATATCACACTCCTTGCTCAGGACACCAAATTCATCTTCTATTGTAACTACATCTTTAGATTCAAACGGAGCCAAAAATTCACTTTGGAGGGGGTCTTGAGGACCCCTAGGGTCACGTTCTATATTCTCCTTTACTTCAGAGTCTTTATCACTGTCACTGTCAATGGTAATCACAACTGGGGAACGTGAAGCATTATCGCCATGGTGTTTCTTGTGCTTCCTCTTATGTTTCTTCTTTTTCTTTTTATGGTGTCTGGTTGTATCGGTAGCTTTCCCTTCATAAACTATCTCTACGCTCAGGCTGCGGGTCCTCCTCTTTCTCCTCTTGTGCTTTGTCTCTCTTTCTGATGACCGGCTATCTGAAAAGCTGTCACTCTCATTTTTGTAGCTTCCATCCAATTTTGATGAAGATTTTGAATAGTGACCTTCCTTCACTTTAGAAGCAAATTCATGCGATGGTTGAGCAACATCACTAGTACCCTCCAAATGCCGCGTTTTGTACTTTCGTTTCCCACCAGGCTTTTCATTTCTCACCCGGTCAGGCCCTGTAGATGCAGTCTTTGATCTACTACTAGACAGGCTCCTTGATCTATGCCTTTCATAGTAGTAGTATTTCCTTTCACTGTGATTATTTTTCTTCCGAGCATTTGTTCTCTCAGAAAAGGACTGAATTCTAAGTTCTGGACTTGACGATTGTCTGGAATAGTGAGCTCTGGACAGAGTCCTCCTCCTGTAAGATGACTCGTAGCCATCCCTGTCCTTGTTTCTACTATAGTAAGTATACTCCCACTTATATCTGCTGCCATAATTATTTCTCAAATAGTAACGATCTCGATTTCTACTCCGTGATCTTCTTTTACCACGATCACTGCTACGAGATCTTGATCTGCTAGAACTTTCACTACTTAGAGACAGAGTTTGGCTTCTTCGTGACCAACTGCTATCTCTGGTTCTTGATCTCTTCTTGTCTCTTCTACCTCTAAGTCTACTACTCTCCCTGCTTCTGGATCGCTTGCCTTTCATTCTTTTCTTCCCATGATGCTTTCTACGATTCTTCTGATCATGCCCACTCCTACTCTGGGAATGTGAATCTGAACTCCTCGATCTTCCCCTCTTTCTGTGTCTGCGGGTATATGGGGAATATACTCTGTCTCCTCTGAGGGATGAGCTCAGGTCTCTGAGAGAGGACAATGATATAGATCGTTGCTCTTCCTTCTTTGAGCTGATTTTTGTACCAGAATCACAATGTCCTTTATTTATTTGTTCATCCTTTCCAATGACAGAGCGTGGAGACGAACATCTACTAACATCACTATCACCAGAACTGTAAGACTGCTCTTGTTCTTGTGTCTTCATGGTCTCCATTTTCTCATACGAACCTAACTCCACCTCAGAATCAGAGGACAGTTCAACAAGTTCTGGGGTCCTCTCAGCTAAAGGTTTAACAAATCCAACAATGACACAGTTATCTGAAGAAGAATCACTGTCATTATTTAGGTCCTCATTGGTCTGTACTCCTTGTATCTGAGATGTAGCTCTTCCTGTTACAAGTTCTTCATCTGAACTGTCTGAAGTATTTAAAAGGGAAGACATGGCAGCATGCACCTGCTCTGAGCTTGAGTAAGAAGGTCCTGGAGTTTCATCATCCCATGGTGCTTGACTAACAGTGGCTACATTAACATCCAGCTCTTGGGTCTCAGCTTCATCTGGAGATATTGTTATGACTGAAGAATCAGAATGGCTACCTTCTTCATATGAAGGAGCAGGGCAATCGTAATTAGCATGCTGATCAAAGGCTGCCATGTTAAATGGAGAGCGAGCAAAACTGATAAATTCATGTATAAAATGCTCAGTCCGATTAAGCAAAAACGGCCTCAAATCAGACACAAATGCCTGACTCTCCAAGTCATAGCGAGTAACATTACTCATGATGATGTGCTGGACGATATTCACTAAAGATCCATGAGCTCCAAAGAGAACTGTGAGTTCACGTTTTAACCAGGGGACTAATCTGTGAAGGCAAGCTGGATTTCTACGGAAAAATTCAGCTGAAATGTCCCTGTAGCGACCACCATCTTCAATATTTCTAACTCGAGCACCAGCACGATAGAGAGTTCGCCTAAAATTAATGATATCCTGTTCTTGAATTTTCCGCAAAGATCTCTCATCTGAAGTAGCTGGCCTTCTTATTGAAATCTGTCTCATAAATGGAGGAATTTCACCATCTCTAGGTCTTGCTGAAATGCTTAACCCTTCAAATAGTACTCCACTGTCTGGTGGAGTTGTTGTTCTTCTATTCACGGTACTACTAGGTGAATAAACAGAAGCACTTCGTTCCCTTGTCATAGTTGTGCGATAGCGGAATCGTCGGACATCAGGAGTAGCAAAAGAGCCATTGTATGATGGTCTTAGGACATATTCCTTGAAGTCATCTTCTGCCCTCACAGAATGAAAAATAGAATCAAAGGGCTGCTTACATAGTGGGCATTCGGCTTTGTTTTTTGACCACTCCTGTACACAGCGAAAACAGAACTTATGTAAACAGCGATCTAAGTAAGACACATTATCAAATCTATCCAAGCATATAGGACACTTAGAATCAGGAGATGCATCAGCTGGTACTGTCTGTTGCAATTTGCTAGTGCCAGCTTTAGGTGAAAAGTTGTCCATTTTAAATTCCTTAGCGGCTGATGCCATTATCTGTAAAAGGGAAAAAAATACATCAGTAACCTGATAAAAATGAAATGACTAAATCTGAAAAAAATGCAAATGACTGAAACATACTTCAGTGAAAAGTAGTACATGTCTGTAACATAAAGGGACAGCGTAGCATAGTAATACAGTACTTAAAGCACTAGCTCTAAAGTCAGATCTCCTGGTTCATATCCTGGTTCCACACTACCAGTGTGATTATAGACTAGTTACTATCCTTATGCTTCAATTTCATCTGATGAGCACTAATACTAGAACCTGCCTCACAGAATTTGTGAAGATGTTTAAAAAAAGAAAAAGGTCTTAGAAAAAGTGCCATAGTAAGCTCTCAAATATTCTATACTATGCTATTATTCCTTTTAAAAAGATAATTTGAGGAAAATTTGATATATACAAAAAAGTGCAAAAGAAAATATATCAAGTAGCCAAATATCCACCATTCAGATTTAGCAATTAACATTTTCTCATGGTTATTCCAGATTTTTTTAAACTGTCCCTTTATGTGCACCTCCTCCAAGCCCATCCTTCTCCAGAAAACAAAAACCAAGAATATCGCAATTCTCAGAATTATTTCTATGTATGGTTTTATATCTTTAATACACACACCCCAAACAATACGGACTACTTGTTTTGTTTGTGGTATCATCTACGTACCTTTAAAAATAGCTTTAGTGAGAAAATTTGCATACCATAAAGTTCCCCTATTTGAAACAGTTCTGTGGATGATTCTTCCAAACACAAAAAAGGATCTGTTAGTGAAGATTATTAAATGAAATAACTGTAAAAGCATTCAAGGCCAGTCCCTGGCTTACAGCAACTGCTAAGTAAATGTTAACTACTGTTAGTTACTCTTACTATTGTTACTATATTCAGTTCATCACTGACTCCTTTCAGTATCCCTAAGAAGCTTTTCTTCTCCTGTTTCATCTAGTCACTCACAAAGTATCTTGAAACCATGCTTTCAGCCTCCTTCCCTTATTTATTCTCACAAGGACCACTAGAATCTTAAAAGATTCGTTCTGTTTTCTTGAAATGTATCAAGTTTATATTGGCCCATAATTTACTAAATGAATTTTCAAAAGCTGAAATCCAGTTGCATTACATCTGGGCCTTGTTCCCTGTTTAGTTGCTTTCTATACTAATCATTTTATAAATATTAAATATGTGTTTCTTCTTCTATGTTTTCCTGGGCCTATTACTGCTCTTCCTCCACCTCCTCTATCACAGAAATCTCATGAACAGTCAACTGCTATCTAGTCAAATAATAAAACTGTAATTTTCTAAACAAGAGACTCGCTGGCCATATCAAGCTCTAACAAAAAACAAATAAAACCCACAACAAAAATCTGTGATTGTGGAATTTAAGTATTTCACCACAGACTTCAAATTAATTTGCTCATCTAGTGCATCTTAGCTTTCTCAGAGCCGTATCTTAATATGAAATCAATTAATGCTGAACAAGTTTCTTCAAGGGGGTCTAAATACCTCCAGTCCTGTCTTCTACAGTGGGAATGCAAAAATTACCACTGTTCTTAAATAGAAGAGAATTATAAATAAACTAAATATGACATAAATTTCTCAGCAATTTCCCCCTACTTCTAATATTTTTAAATTCTCCGACTCAAGGGGGGGAACCTTTTAAAAACACAATCTGTTAAGAGACTCTGTGGCATTAGGAAAAAGAGTGGAGAGGCATCAGATCTGGACTGATGACCAGGTTTCACCTAAAACTAACTCTGTCAATTGGAGAAATCCACATTAACTCTGGACTTCAGTTTGCCTCTCAATATAAGAAATCACTAGACTTTTAAAATGGTGAATTTCTAGTTAATACAGTTTACCTTAATTTGTTTTTCTGGAATACAGAATTTTGGTGTTTACTAAACATTTCCATGTCACACAAAGATTTACAACCCAGAATGAATTTATTAAAGAGAACTATTTGATAATAATTTCAAGTTCAAATAAAACAAAATTTCACTAATTATAAATTTTTTAAGACGGAATTTTAGTTCTCCTTTCCCTAGTTTTATAAGCCTGTTAACCAATTTGACAGCACAAGTATATAAAGAATGATGAGTAACATTATGTAGAGTAGGTAAAAAGAAAAAATTCTTAGTTCTGTTTCATATTTCTACATAGGAGTTTCTTTAGCTATAAAGAATGGTATTCATGAGAAACATCATACAATGGCAATGAATGTAAATCATCAATAAAGGGATCTACTCTTTTGAAATCACCACTAAATACTAAATGTATGTGCTAACTCAAATAATGTAGAATTTATTACCACATGACCCAGCAATTCCACACGTATCTATCCAAATGAAACAAAACCACAGGACCACACAAAAACGTTTAAATGAATAGTCGTCCTTGCTAAGTTGCTTAAGTTCTGACTCTTCTGCGACCCAAGCGACTGTAGCCTGCCAGACTCTTCTATCCATGGGATTCTCCAAGCAAGAATACTGAAGTGGGTTGCCGTGCCCTCCTCCAGGGGATCTTCCTGACCCAGGGAAAGAACCCGTGTCCCTTAAGTCTCCAATATTGGCAAACAGGTTCTTTACCACTGTGCCACTTGGGAAGCTAAGAGTTTTAATAGCTAAAAAGTGTCAAATGCTCATCAACTGATGAATTCTAACATTTATCATCTTTAGAATTGGGGGTGGAAGGAAGGGTGATAGTGGAGGTAGGTGGAGGCTGCCTCCACCTGTGGTATACCCATACAATGTGGTTTATCCGTACAATGGAACATTTGACAATACAAAGAAACAAACTACTGATATATGCTACAACATGGATGAATCTTTTCATTATCAATCACAAAATATCACATTATATGCTATTTTACATGAAATGTACAGAACAGAATCAATAGAAAGTAGACTAGTGATTGCTGGGTGTGTGTAGGGGAAGCCTGGGTAAGGATTATCAAAGTTTCTTTCTAGGATGATGAAAATGTTCAATTATAATTGCAGAAATATACTATATAAACACACTAAAAACCACTGTATTATAAATTTTAAAGAAGTGAACTTTATAGATAAAATATAAATTATATCTCAACAGAGCTGTTTCAAAAGTACAAATTAAGGCATAAAACAGAGATAGCAAGGGGACAGATTTGGTTTGGGGGACTTCTCTGGTGGTCCAGGGGCTAAGACTCTGCACTCCCAGTGAGTAAGGGGCCTGGGTTCAATACCAAACCAGCCAACTATATCCCACATGCAACTAAGACCCGGGACAGCCAAACAAATATATATTTAAAAAAAAAGATTTGTAGTTTTGCTGGAAGAATTCTGGGTTAGACAGCAAACGCAGATCTGATGGAAGATTTAGTGCTTCAGATTCTAGAAGCATCCTAGAACAAAAGTTTCTCTATCCTAGTACTCTAGGAATTAGAACTTCAAATTAATTTCCCCATGAAGAAAAGATTAATCAGTTCTTCTGAACCCTTCCCCTTAACTGCCTCTCAAATTATAAATAAAATTTATCATCTTTAGAATTGGGGGGAGGGGTGGCAGGTGGAGGCTGGTAAAAAGAGTCCGGAAGCTGGAAGTCTAAATTAGACCATAGACTGGACATACCTCACATTTAAAAAATTTGACAAGAGTTATGTTTTCATGGAGTCATGTTAATTCTAATGCAAAGTCAGGGCTGAGAAAACACTTATTAGTGCTGTGATCTGCACAAAGTTAATTTCTCAAAACCTTCCATTTTCCTCAATTCTAAAATGTTTTAAATAACAGTATGCACCTGAAAAGGTGGTTGTGTGAAGAGAGATATTCCACATAAACCCTTGGCATAGTGCTTGGTGGGGAGTAAGAATTTAATACTGTTATCCCATGTTATGTGAAGATAAAATTAATTTCTGTAATTTCCATCACCCACAACTGATTATAAATGCCCAGAAAGATGACAAGCGAATGATCCTCATATTAGTATCATTATCGTATTTAATATATCTAAGCAAAATGGCTAAAAAGGGTTCACAGGTGGATCAACTATTATAACTATTAAAATATTCATAAACTACTATAAACTATTATAAACAATCTGGGCCCTATCTCTTGTGACCTTAAAGAAACCGTGTACCTCTCTGCACTGCAATCTAATCATCAATACCAAGAAATCAAACAATTTAAACGATCAACTAACCAGACCCTAAAAAATGTAAATTTACACCAGACCCTAAAAAATGTAAATTTACACCAGACCCAACGAAATTTAATTCCAGTTTCAGCAATAAAAGGAACTGCTTGGGAACCACTACCCTCTAAAGCCGCTCATTCCAGCTAAGCATGACTGCTTTGGCTGACTGTACAGCTTTCAAAGCCAGAGACTAAAAACAAACAAAAACCCCAACTCCCACCGGTATTAACGTCAATCTTCGATAACCCCTTCCGAATTTACTTCCATTAACTTGAAAATTACCTACCAAAAATTCTATTCACTTTTCCTCCCAGAGCACTATTTGCCTCCTCTCAGTACCGCCCCCTTCCAGTCTACCAAAGTAGCCCGTGAAGCGAGATGCAGAGTCGACGGATGAAGTCACAGGCTCACGGGGTGTAACAGACAACTACCAGAGTTAGAGACAGTCGCTTCCTTTGGTTGAGAACTGCCACCTGCCAGGATCGAAGGCAGGCACCCCGTGCATTACATAATCCCAACGAACTCAAATACTGTTACTCCCATTTTACAGACGTGCTCAGAGATGAGGGGGCCATACAAGGTCACACCTCTGGCAGCAGCGACGCCACAGACTCGAACGTTTGTGCTTTGTGTTGTGTCTCCCCCACCCCCCACCTAGAGACCAAGCTCCTTCCAGTACGCCGCTGGGCTCGCGCTCTACGGAGCGCGTCTCGGAAAGCAGCCCTCCCCCGCCCACCGGCACGGATCCACAGGTGCGCCTCAGAAGCCGCTCGCCCGAAGCCTGGCCCGCCGGCTCACCGCGGCGCCTCAGGCCCGGACCGCAGCTCTCTCGCCCCTGGGCCTCGCTGCAGGCTGGAGCTTCTGCTCTCCCGGCCCCCTTCTGACCCCCGCGCCCCATTGTTCCCGACCTCACTCACCTCAGAGGATGCCGGCGCAGGCCGGGCTGGGGCGCTCGTGGCCAGCTCCCGGCGGCCCAGAAGGCTGGGTCGGTGACGGCAGGATCCACGAAGGCGAACTCTACGACTTCTCCGCCGGCCCTCCGAAGCGGGAGTAGGCGGGGGCGCTTCACCCTCCTCGCGAGACAGCGGAGACCCCGGCGGCTGCTGCGACCCCTGTGACGTAAAGCGCTCATCACCAATGGCAGACAGGGGGCGGGGGCAGAAACCAAAACCCACTTCCCGGCCCCCAGCGCGTCAAAACACAGCACCCGCCCGCGTGACGCATGCGCGGTAGAGGACGCCCGCGCTGAGGGCGGGGCTTAGCGCGCTCGGCCTGAGCCCGGCCCTTCCCCCACTTTCCTCCGCTCCAGGAAGGAGAGCGACGTGACCCCCTCAGAACGAAATCACTAACGTACCGTCAACTCGAGTAATACATGGGGATTAGAAGCTAACTGTCTTAAAGTTCACTTCTAACTTACATGGAAGACACGATAACTAGCTTGGTCTCGTTTGAAAGTTAAAGTCACTCAGTCGTGTCCGACTCTGCGAGACCCCATGGACTATAGAGTCCAGGGAATTCGTCAGGCGGTAATACCGGAGGGGGCAGCTTTTCCCTTCAGCGGATCTTCCCAACCCAAGGATCGAACCCAGGTCTCCCGCATTGCAGGCGGATTCTTTACCAGCTGAGCTACAAGGGCTGTGGTCTCATTTAAACCTCGCCAAATTCTGCGAGAAGTTACTCAAACTATCTCTGGTGTTCGATAAAGGAACCGAGTTATCCGGAAGGGAAGGGACTTGGGCTGAAAAGTTAAGAACCACCACCAGGATTCGAATGGAATCCCAAATCAATCTTGAGAGATCAACTCCAGTCAGGATTAACAGGGATCTGACCTAAAATCAGTGTGAACTGAAATCTTCTCGAAACAGATAACGTCTTTTCCTTACCCGCTCTCCGAAATATGTATTAAAAAACCCTGTTTAGGTGATATCTGAGATTACAGAAACAAAACGTCTGGGCCCCGTTGTCCCATTCTTCGCTTAAAATGTAAGCGTCCCGAACATTCTTGGTACAACGGCCTGCGTACAAAGCCCCATCCTTTGGTTTCATATTTGATCATGCTACAGTTCTAAGCATACAAATGCTCGATGAGCACTTGCTAATTGGCAGCTACATTATGTCCGGTAATTCGTGCCATGTTATTTCTTAAAAGTATCTGATATAAAGCCATTGCGTTCTCAAAAACTTTTAAGAAAAGCACCAGTAACAGGGAGTCCCACAACGACTCGTCAGTTATATAAAAGCAGGCTGTACTCTAAATCAAAGGTAAATACACGAACTACCTATACCGTGGGAACAGATCCGGTTAGAAACAATTCTTTCAGTGCTAGACGTCGGCGTGATACTTAAACCGTGGGTTATTTTTCAAAATAAACTTTTAAATGCACGTGACGGTACCTTATCTCGCATTAATACTGCTCTACAACTGAAAGGCGACCGGTTGACAAGTCAAGCCTATCCCTCACAGCGGCAAAATAAACCCTTTTCAAGCGTTATTTTCTCGTTTCTCTCACTTCCTCCCCTTAAGGCGGGCTAGGCCCCCGAGCACGTGACACCGCCCCCCAGCTCCGGGCGGAAGAGGCCGGCCGGGCTGATGGGAAACGGGCAGGGAGGCGAGTGGGCGGGCGCTCGCGCCCGGCTGAAAGATGGCTGCCGCCGCCCGGCAGCCGCCGCCCCGGCGGTTACTGTAGGGCCTGCGGCTTCCGCCCGTGCCCGCGAACCACCGCCACCGCCTTACCATGAAGCCAGTGAGTCGCCGCACCCTAGACCGGATTTATTCCGCGGTAGGTCCCGGGCTCGGCGGGCCTCCCCGGGGTCTACGCTTGAGGCCCGCGGGTGGAAGGTCCCCTATATCTTCAGCGCCCAGAAACTCTAAAATCCATTCTTGAATTAAGCCTTTCACTCCCTAACGTCGACTCCGCCTCTTCCTGGAGGACACGGTCTTCCGCTTCTTACGTAAGGGCTATCGGGTGAACTCGCTTCCGGAACCACATCTATGCGAGTTTCTCACTAAAATCCCCACCTTACTAACGTGCGCGGCAACCTGATGGGGCCCGGGAGGACGTACCACTCAAAGATTGTTTTTACTCCATTTCCTAGTTGCTCCTCGCGGTCGTATTGCTCTCCTGGGGATACGTCATCTATGCATCAACTGTAGCTGCACGACGACAACTAAGCAAGGAATACCCAGACAAAATCTTCGGAATGAACGAAAATTTGTAATTCCTCTGGATTTGATTTCATGCATATACAGTTCTTTATCTCTGTCTGATACTTGTCTCGATTTAAAGTAAAACCTTTAATATAATGATCCCAAATTCACTTTTGTATACCGTCCGTTATAGTAACCACTAATTGTCGATTTTTCATATACCAAGAGGTTTGTCTTTTAGGTTCTCATATAAGAAAGCACAAGGATCTTAGGTGATGCAGTTGTAAAGAATCTGTCTGCTAACGCAGAAGACACCAGTTCCATCCTTAGGTGGGGAAGATCCCCTGATTCCTTACCCGCTCTCCGAAATATGTATTAAAAAACCCTGTTTAGGTGATATCTGAGATTACAGAAACAAAACGTCTGGGCCCCGTTGTCCCATTCTTCGCTTAAAATGTAAGCGTCCCGAACATTCTTGGTACAACGGCCTGCGTACAAAACCCCATCCTTTGGTTTCATATTTGATCATGCTACAGTTCTAAGCATACAAATGCTCGATGAGCACTTGCTAATTGGCAGCTACATTATGTCCGGTAATTCGTGCCACGTTATTTCTTAAAAGTATCTGATATAAAGCCATTGCGTTCTCAAAAACTTTTAAGAAAAGCACCAGTAACAGGGAGTCCCACAACGACTCGTCAGTTATATAAAAGCAGGCTGTACTCTAAATCAAAGGTAAATACACGAACTACCTATACCGTGGGAACAGATCCGGTTAGAAACAATTCTTTCAGTGCTAGACGTCGGCGTGATACTTAAACCGTGGGTTATTTTTCAAAATAAACTTTTAAATGCACGTGACGGTACCTTATCTCGCATTAATACTGCTCTACAACTGAAAGGCGACCGGTTGACAAGTCAAGCCTATCCCTCACAGCGGCAAAATAAACCCTTTTCAAGCGTTATTTTCTCGTTTCTCTCACTTCCTCCCCTTAAGGCGGGCTAGGCCCCCGAGCACGTGACACCGCCCCCCAGCTCCGGGCGGAAGAGGCCGGCCGGGCTGATGGGAAACGGGCAGGGAGGCGAGTGGGCGGGCGCTCGCGCCCGGCTGAAAGATGGCTGCCGCCGCCCGGCAGCCGCCGCCCCGGCGGTTACTGTAGGGCCTGCGGCTTCCGCCCGTGCCCGCGAACCACCGCCACCGCCTTACCATGAAGCCAGTGAGTCGCCGCACCCTAGACCGGATTTATTCCGCGGTAGGTCCCGGGCTCGGCGGGCCTCCCCGGGGTCTACGCTTGAGGCCCGCGGGTGGAAGGTCCCCTATATCTTCAGCGCCCAGAAACTCTAAAATCCATTCTTGAATTAAGCCTTTCACTCCCTAACGTCGACTCCGCCTCTTCCTGGAGGACACGGTCTTCCGCTTCTTACGTAAGGGCTATCGGGTGAACTCGCTTCCGGAACCACATCTATGCGAGTTTCTCACTAAAATCCCCACCTTACTAACGTGCGCGGCAACCTGATGGGGCCCGGGAGGACGTACCACTCAAAGATTGTTTTTACTCCATTTCCTAGTTGCTCCTCGCGGTCGTATTGCTCTCCTGGGGATACGTCATCTATGCATCAACTGTAGCTGCACGACGACAACTAAGCAAGGAATACCCAGACAAAATCTTCGGAATGAACGAAAATTTGTAATTCCTCTGGATTTCATTTCATGCATATACAGTTCTTTATCTCTGTCTGATACTTGTCTCGATTTAAAGTAAAACCTTTAATATAATGATCCCAAATTCACTTTTGTATACCGTCCGTTATAGTAACCACTAATTGTCGATTTTTCATATACCAAGAGGTTTGTCTTTTAGGTTCTCATATAAGAAAGCACAAGGATCTTAGGTGATGCAGTTGTAAAGAATCTGTCTGCTAACGCAGAAGACACCAGTTCCATCCTTAGGTGGGGAAGATCCCCTGAAGCAGGAAATGGCAACTCGCTCCAGTATACTTGCCTGGAGAATTCCATGGACAGAGGAGCCTGGCGAGCTACAGTTCAAAAAGAGTTGAAGAAAACACGAGGAAGGATAACAATGCAAAGTATATCTGACAGTTTTTTGATCTAGAGTTTCTAAAATACTTCTGAAATGTCTCCAGAAAGCCTTTAAAACAAAGTGTGCTGTAATTTCTGTTCTTATTTTTATTGCAACATTTCATTCCGTTGTATACCTTCACATCAACTAGATTAAGTACAGCATAAGAAAAAACTATCATGTGACTAAACAATTTTATACATTCTGTTTTCCAGGTTAAAAATGGCCAGAAAAAGTAGGTGACTGACCATATTATTTTTATTTAGCCTGTCCAGTTTTTACTTATTGTTAGATAATTCAGTCTCAAATTGTACAGAAAGAATGGCACAGGTTGGGAAGAAACAGACAACACATATGTGAGTAAACTTTATTACTTTTCCAGAAAGTACTTTCAATAAGTTGGTAATGTAGCAACAAACTTAGGCTCATACACCTTTGAAATTTTAAAGTAATCTTCAATGATGTTGATCAGGAAATTCTTTCATGGGTGGGATTACTTCTCCAGTCTCCAGAATTGTATCACCCTAGAAAAACAAAGGTGCGTTAGTGATAAATCTTGTCATCAGAGGCAACAGTTCCCCTTTGAGCTCATCTGGAAAGCCTAGCTCAGTTCTGGCATTCACATTTAAAAGTGACATAGGTAAAATAGAAGCTGTCTAAAGATAAGAAACCAGTCCAAAATCTTAAGGAATAAGGAACAAATAGGGGAAGTTTTACTCAAACCAAATGACCACAAAGGACATGAAAGTTGTCTTTACAAAGTGACAGAAGGATGATCTTTATTTGCTTGGCCCCAAGAAATAGGAGAAGCCCTAGAAAGAAGTTATAGGGAAATAGCTTCACTTCAATACAAGGTGGTATGTATTCCCAGCAACTAAATATGGTAGGCAGCCACCAGTTTACTCTTTGGCTCAGAAGAGATATTAGAGATGGACCTGCAAACTTTGCCTAGGCAGCTGGTCCAGATGTCTTTCCAACTTTCCAAACCTAAATACAGTGGGTGTGGCAGAACAGGAAGGGACTTAAAGCTAGAACCAAGTAGTGTGAATCCTGGAACCCTCCACTGACAAGCTGCATAATTTTAGGCAAAGTACTTAGCTTTCATTTCAGCTGTTTAAGATAGCAGATTCCATAAGCCTGACAGTCCATGAATTGACTGAGAAGGGCAGAATTATCCCATCACCACCTGCCATTCCCTGTCCTTGGTTGTTCAGGACTATAAATTTGTATTAGTGTAAACCAGTACACATTTTGGGGAAAACCTGTTAGCACAGCTAGCTTTACCCTGACACAGAAATTAATAACCTGAACTGGTATGAATGCTGTTGTAATAAAAATTGAGCTACATGGCACTGGCTTAGCAGTCTGGCTTCAAGACACTGGCGCTGGAGGCTAAGAGATGAAAACAAGAGGCACTAATGAGTTAGAAGTACCAGTAATTTAGAGGTTCTAGGAGAAGTACCTGGAAAAAAGTTATAGTATGGGTTTAACTACTACATTAATGGCTGCCTTAGAAATGTACTTTAAGAAACGTAAGCCCAGGTAAGAAGTGGCTAATTTGAGAAGAGAAAAATAAGAATCTAAACATTCAGGACCATGCAATATTAGAAAATCAGATGGATTGTTTCTGAATCTCCAACGAGTAAGAGCTAACACTGAAGATTCTGAGAAGCCCATAAAGCTCAGTAAACACAGGGACCCAGCACCATGCAAAGATCAGACTGAAGCGCAGGTAGAGCCTGAGACAGAGTGTGTCTCAGTGGCCTCCACGTAGCTGCCACTGAGTGGAGAGGCAGCGGGGTGAGGACATGAAATGAAAGGACTTGGTAACTGTGTACAAACCACAGACCGGCAGGTGGGACCGACTCGAAGCACAAAGGTTAGACTCCTACCAAGTTTTTCTTTCCATGCCTGCCAAACGTGAGAAATAGATGATCCAAGAAACCGAACATACAGAAGCAAAAGCCTGTGATAGTTTTCTCTGGCCCTCAACCTTCTGTCAACAGGAGGTAGACTTTAAAGGCTGTACAACCCTAAGAAGGGCATATTTCCCAGTCCTCATTTTAGATGTGGTCTACATTGATAAAGGAAAAGATTGGATGTGCCCCCGCTGTGCGCCCCCCCTACCCCAGGAGTCAGGAAGAACAGTGAACAAAGGTGTTCCCTCCAGAAGCAAAATCAGTCCCATTCAAGTAACCTTCCACACACAGGGGTTAGGAGTCTTCCCAGTGTTTGACCAGTGGGGTTTCAGAACCAAGTGACTGCTATGCTGTCCACATTCCACTGTTGAATAATGGGTGTGGTTGGGGGGACAAGGGATACAGTTCACTTGTCATAGATCCTCCAATCTCTAAGAGAAGAATCTTCAAGATTAACCCTGACAGATATTACTGTGCATCATCTGGCAGTCTCAGGTTGCATTGATGGAATGGGATCTTGGGGTTTCTCCCAAGGAAAAGGTCTTGTGTTACATGTGTGGGAAGAAGGAAGCAGAGAGCCATTTGTTAACTAGAAGGATAGACTGTGGCAGAGGTTCCAGGTATGGGAGGCTGGGAAATATAAAAAAGCACAAAGATATCTGGGACCATAAGTCCTGGCAAACAGGACTTGAATAGAAGTGATGTAAGCTACATCCAAGCTTAGACCTTAAAATCATCCTCTGAAATATTCAACCCTGTGATCTTGGAGCTGCATATTTGCAATGGCCTAACTATAATTGTCTGATCTATACTAGTCTGTGATATCAATAGGAAATAAACTTTTAGTAAGCCACTGAGATTTGGGGGTTTATTTCTTACTGTCTATCCTATTCTAAAGTATGTACAGATGAGCACTCTTCAGGTCCTCAAAGGGGCAACTTCTCAAGTGGGTCAATGGTACAGAAACAGGAAAGAAGCACAGTAGCAAAATATACGGAAGTAGGAGAGAGGCTATGGAATCACTATGTGGTCTTCTAAAGAGATCCTCCTCCTTTTCCTTCGAACAGTAATGGCAAAATAAATAATA